GGGAAAGTTTTTATGGAATTCACAATTAGTGTGGTTTCAAGTCAATCATTTTTTAGACATTCCTATACCCAACACATCCAAGTTAAATTTTCCAGATTTTCTGTTCCAAAAGCCAGTGCAGTAGCCCTTCCTACCTATGGGTTGGCATCGATGAATTCAACCAAGGACAGAAAATAATCGGAAAAAACTGCATCTGTACTAAACTTTTTCTTGTCATTATTCCCTAAACAATACAGTATAACAATTATTTACACAGCATTTCATGATATTAGGTATTACAAGTAATCCACAGATGATTTAAAGTATAGGAAGGGTTGTGCATATGCAAATACTACACCATCTTATATAAGGGGCTTAACTTACTCAGATTTTGGTATTCTTGGGAAATCCTAAAATAGATCTCCATCACGGAGATCCATGATGTCCATCTCCATGATAGCCAACTATACCTGGAAATTGCCGTAACCTTAAACTAAGAAATTAACTCATACTGAATCCAATAATTGAAATAACAATGTGAGAAAACTCCTTCACCACATGATTGATTCTCTAAAATGTATATTTAATGAAATAAAGCTAAGAATATATTTATGTTATTTTAAAAACTGAACGAAGGCCCTTCAAGTCAGCTACTTTAAAAATTGTTAATTCAAAGTCTGACTTTAAATAACCAGACTTTGTAGTAGTAACTACCTCCAAAAGAACACCTGACACCGAGTTAAGCACATTTAATACAATAATCCTATCATGAACATACTATCACCATTGTACAGGTAAGTTTAAAACTTGCCCACCATCCTTGCCCAAACTAAACCTCTGTTCATAAGTAAAGGGAAAAAAATAACTTTTGGTTGCAAGTATCTAGCAGTACAAGTAATCAAACTGGTACATTCTTATCTATTTGTTACTGTCTTACACACGGCTCCAAAATGTTACATAACACTTGTACCCTTTATTGTCCCACAACACCCTTATTCTGGGATTATTATCAGTACTGTATATGAGAGCTTAAGGATCAAAGAGCTTAAGAGAAGTCACTCAGCTTTTTGATTCCTCCTTTTCCCACCCACTGCTTTGCTTCTCTAATTCAAGAAATATTGCTACCATAATCAGAGCACTTTGCAACAGAAGATGAAATGTATTAAAGATATTAGATAAGCATCTTTCATCAGTTACATGTCTGTCCAACAAGTTATTAAAGAGTTACTGACTAACACCATATCCAGTTAGCCACTAACTGGTTGTTTTGGGACCAGTAACAAAATACAAATTGTATTAACAATATTTATTAAGCTGGTAAGTTAATAAGAAAATCTCCTAAATTCTACTTGTACTTGGCCAGAAGACCAAGTCCACATCAATCAAAAGAGCATATTATCTACTTGGGAAATTAAAGGATGCTAAATTAGTATTTCATGACCTTAAAAGCTGTTTCTAGTAATTATCATCTAACCATAAAACTAATACTGTATAATCATTTGTCCCAGACTAGGTAAAGAAGGTGGCCACTTAAATATACACCTTTTTATAAAATTATTCAAGTTTAGCAATATTTATAGACATGTAAGCACAGAGATACATTCGCCAAAAATACGAAAAATCATTTGTAAAAGTTATTTTTGTTTTGCACTTCTCAACACGTCATGCTTCCCACTTCCAAAAAGAATTCTTACTTCCTTCACTAACTGTTCTACCTTTTTTATAATAGTTACCTTTTCCTTTCCTATTTTAAAATTTCCCACTCCACTTAGTGACTTGTCTTATCTTTACAGCTGCTCCATCTTCTCCTTCCCTCCTTAGCATGATGTTAAACTTCATTTAGTCAGCAAAGTTTCAGGCAGTCATCTCTAGTTACATGTGATTATATCCAATGAAGGGCCCCAACTCTCCTCCAAATCTGGTGAAGAACAGTAAAAATACCTCAGAAGTTTCTATGATATGGGCAGAACACACTCCCTCCCTCCCAAAAGGAATACCTTAATTCCCTCACAGTAAGATTTTAAGAAATAAAATCAAAACAAGGTGTTTAAAGTTCTTTATTAAGTACCACATATTATCCCATTGCCATCACATTTTCCGGTTGGGGTTTTCTTCTGGCTATCCGTTTTTAAAGCTATAGAGAAAACTTTTGATTGTTCTTCTGTACCATGGTGGTGAAGAAAAGTAAAGGATAAAATTAACGTTGAGAAATGAGTTCATTGTGGGATCTAGTTCAGTTATTCTAAGTTCACATCTATCACCCTTAAGGTAAATTATCTACAAAGTAAATAATACGGCTGGACTTTGAAAATGAAAAATGATGACAACATCAGAATGCCATAACACTTTAAAAAAAAAAAAAAAGAAGAAGAAGAAAGCTCTCTCCCTGTCCCCACCTTGGAGAAAACCCTTGCTACGTAAAGCTATAAATCGCCATTTCCAAAAAATTTTCTTACTTCTACTCCTTGCCACATTTCTGGCTCATAACTCTAAGACCCTGCCAAACAGCTTTGCTTACAATTTTGTGTGTCAAACAGGTCTTCTAACTGAGCATAAACATTTTTTAAAATGCATCTTGCACTACAAGTCCCACAATTTTAAAAATGTATCTTAAACTCCAACAACATCAAACCACTGGACAATCAGGACAATCAGCCTTCCAGGTACTCTTAGCAGATGCCTAATAACAACTGTAGGAAAAGCACAATTTTGGAAAAGGTCTCAAATTTCAAGAAAGTTAACTTATACTTGTGAACATTCAAAAATTTAGTATCCTAAAGTTACAATACAGTCACAAAAACAGAATCCCAAAGTACACACATGTGCATGAGACTTAAGGCCAAAATGTAATTATCATTCATGGTTTATTTTCCCTATGATAAATATTTCTTTATGGTAAGGCAGCTCCTCCCTGAATAAAGAATTGCAAAACACTTTACTAAATAAATTTTATCATATCTACAAAATCCTATCAATCTACAAAGTCAATAAAATGAGCGCTTAGTTTTTACACAAAGATCTTACCTTCCTAAAAAGAGCATTTCTCTTAGGAGAAACAAAAAGAATCTTCCTAAAGCTATAACCACTAGAGTGACACCTGACTTAGCTTTACTAATTCACTTCTCCAGAAAGCAGAGGGAGACAAAGAGTTTCTACATAAAAACAAATGAGCTATTCATTTACAGCCAGGTTATTCTTTAATAACAAATCCTACCAAGTTTACTGGGTTTTAATACACTAAAGGACGACACAGAGCAAATTAGCAAGTACCAGGGCTGTTTCAAGCAGCCATTTGCTAGGAATGCCTTTCAAGTGAAAATCTCCTCTCCCCCACCAAAAAAAAAGGACAAGAACCTATGAGTAGCATTTAAATAAAAAATTGGTGGGCCCTAGTTATCAACAGTCTCCAGAGTCTCATCTCTTCTCACACGATGTTCCACAGCATAAACACTATCTTCAGAAGGATGAGCGACTTACAAATTTATGCTTCCAATAAGACAAGGAAAATGAAACACTTTGAAAATATATCTTAAACGTTTAACTTAAACACACACACACACACACACACACTACCTACCCTAGAGTCCAAAAGAGCTAAATTCCATCTGCATTCCAAAGCAACTAATTACAGAGAAATCCGGCCTCTTTTCCGGTACTATTTCATTCTACAGCGGGCTACCAATATAAACGATTCTGTCAATTGCTTTGGATGGCAGGCAATAATAAAATAAGCCTTATTTCCTTTTCTTTCTCCCTTAGCAAAACTCTAGTTTGTCATCACCTCTGACATGATTGATGAAGAATATTTCAAATAAACCTTTCTGTTAAAGTGAGTCCTTGTGGTTAATAGTTTACCAAAATGTTGAAAATGTCATCCAGGAAAACCTTTATCAGATTGTGAAAAAAGTAATCTGAAACCACAAGCTCATATTTAGTGTATCTAATACACTTATCTTGGCCGTACTTACCTAACCTAGGCTTTTACCATTTATAAGCCTTTGGGGGAAAAAAAAAAAAAAAAAACTTTGCCTCATCCAAAATTTTCATCAAGATTCTCAATCAGGATTTCATGTGTTCAATTCGCACCAGAGCGAAAGATCAAATGCTAAACTCCTATAAATAGGGGTGTTATGAGTGAGAGAGGTACACAACACTGCGCTGCCGACGCAAGTGTGTCTTCCAGGGGGCAGGGGCGCTCCGTGTACGCGTACAGTACGAGCTCACATTCAGCAAAACCGAGCAGCGAAGGGTCAGGTGACTTCACACCACAGACACTTGCAGTCTGATCAGGCCTTCCTGGCCGTCCGAATAACTAGTAGCGACTCGTCATCCCAGTTTGACACCTAGATATGGAGGCTTGCAACCTCAGCCACGCGCAACCCGCGCGAGTGGGTTCTGGGGCCGACGAGCCCGGGAAGGCGAGCCCTGGGGCACAGCGCCGGCCTGCCAACTGCGGTTCCCTCAGCAAGGATGTCCAAAGCGCTTCCCGACCTAGCAGCGAGGTGTCCGCTCGCTCTGCGTCCTCCTCCGTGGCTGGGCCCATCGCGCCCCGGCCGTCCCTTCCTCCCTACCCGCGCGAGGGACAGGGGGCAGCGAGCGCACGCCAGGTGACAGACAGGCCGTCTCGCCGCGTCAGGACCTCCCTGGGACCCAGCCACACTTTCGCCGACCTCCTCGCGCCCCAGGCCTGCGGCCCCGACTCAAGGCCGCCCCCTCAGGTCGGGGCGGACACCGCCACAGCCACGCGGCGGGCGAGCGGGCAGGGGGCCGGGCCGGGAGCAGACGCGCGCGCCGCCCGTTCGCCCAACAGCTGTGGCCCGCGGGCCGCGCTTTCAGGCAGCGCGCCGCGGATACACGGGGCGCGGCTGAGGCTAGGCCGGGCGGGCAGACGCGGCGGCGGGAGGAGACCCGAGCCAGCCGAACACTCCGACCCTGGCGCCTGCGACCGGTGCCCGCGAGCCCAAGCAGCCCTCGCCCTCTCCCCACCGGGGCCCTGCAGACTCTGCCCCGCCGGCACATACCTAGGGAGGTCGTGGACGAGACGTGGTTAACCTCGGTGCTTGGGTCGCTAGTCCGTCGCCGGCGCCGCAGCCCCTGGTGCGGCTGCTGCCTTCGCGCTACCTCGTCCCCCTCCGCCATCTTGTACCGATTTAAAATTAACTCCCCACTGACGTCAAACGCCGCCGCCGCTTTATCAACCTCCCGGGAGCCGGCGGGGCGGCTGGCGGGTCCTAGCGCCGCCCTCGGGCTGCGCCTCCGTGCCCGGCCCCGCCCATCGGCTCCTTCGCCCCGCCTCTGCCCTGCCTGAGGGAGCTTGGGGTTCCCGCCCCCGCGCTTCTGGGAGGAGTTGCGTGGGGGAGGGGGACGCCCTCGCCTCCCGGGTCTCACACCCCACCTCCCCTCCGAGTACCACACCCCCTTAGCGTTGGGCTGAACTGTGAAAACGCAGGAGGGATCTCCAGAGGACTAAGTCCCTCCTTCCCAATTCGGCTACCCAGTTCTCTTTACGCCTCTAATGGTTGGTTCGTGCACCTTGCACGTGAGGTTGCTTTCGCACCCCTCTCCCTCCCTCTTTACCCCCCCCTCCTCCTCCACTGATATTCCCCGCGCCTCTCCCTACCAACACCCTTAGGCTGCTGCGTGTGCCCTGCTTTTCCTCTCATCTTTTTTTCCTCCCTCTAGTCCCTACTGTTGCTCCCCGCATACCCCCCACCTTCTTAAGGTGTGTTTGCCTCAGCTCCCCACCTACTTACGAGACCCTCGCCCTGTGTTCTTAATTGTGCATGCCTTTGTCCTGCTCCTAGCACCTAGCAGGGACAAACCAGAAAGCAGGATAATCAGAAAATGACATGGGTCCTTCCCTAACAGTGATGGACCTTCCTGTGGGTGTCCAGTGACACCTGGTAGAAAGTTCAGATCACTTTTTTAAATAAACGTCAGACTGTAAAGGCGTCTTGTGAAACAGGGTTTCTGTTCTTTTAGATTTTCATGACATCATCTGATGCATTAGAAATTCCTTTTCTCCAGTAAAGACAGATGTCCAGGTGTCTAAATGGATGTTTTGTCCAAGTCTTCTTACAAATCTAAAATTCATAGCCTTTCCTCCTGCATAAGTCTCTAGAAAAATACCGGGGTCATTGAGGCTTGGAGAGTACCATTCTAGAGGGGGTTTTGCTGGGCTGTTCGGGCGTTTATTTGCTCACCCGTTTTCTGTCTTTAGGGCTCCTTCTGGACTTTCTAACTCCTGGCATCCTAGTTCAATGTCCCAGGGGCAGCCTAACAAGCTACATGCTTGATAATGGATATCCTTTCATAACCTCCCTGTGTGACAATTATTTCATACTATCCACAGTCTGCTTTATGCAAGATATCATCATCTTGGGCACGAGAGAGGATGCATAGGTGAGTATTTTTGCCTTCAAAGACTAAATAAACTTCCTCTTAGAATTAGCAGTTAACTAAGCACTGACCATTCCCCACCATAGATCCCCAGAAAATTAAAGTGACTCCCATAGTTGCACCACTGTCCAACTGGCCTCCTAACTGGTGTCCTTTCTACTGTTAGCTGTTGATTATCTCATGTGCTGGTACTCAGTGCCCTGAACAGGTACACACAGCTCCTGACTCCAGGAATGTAGAAAAGCCAAATGCAATCCCAGTCAGTAGAAATGGTCCTACCGCCACCTCAAATCCCTATGTTAGAAGCCTTTCTTCATTTTCCCCAATTAGCAATCCTCTCCAATCTCTTATCACAATGAAATCTCAGTGTTACTCCAGACTTCTCTTCTTCCCCTTCTATACCCAGAAAATCTCTGAGGTCAATTCTGACTTCTAAATCTCTTGCAGCTCACCTCCTCTCTATCCCCTCCACCTCCTTGATTAAGGCCCTCTCCCTACGTTCAGGCATCTCCCACTAGACTCATTGTAACAGCCTCCCCACTGTCTGCCCTTCTTCCTGTGAGTCCTCACAGACTTCGGCTTGACTTTTCTTAGATGCAGATCTGATCATGTTGATTTTTCTGCCCAGGATGAATCCTAATCTTTCAAATACTTGACTAGGCCTTTTATAATTTAGGCTCTGCCTAGGTATTAAGCCATTTTTTTCACCACTCAATCATTCCTTCATTATTTCATTTAACACTGAATCTTGACTAAAGACACAACTGCAACAATACAAAAGAATATATTTGCACAAGGCTGTTCACTATAG